AGGATTCTGAAGCAGATAAAGACTGTTCTGAATCTCCCTGGTTTCTCCATCTATGCTCCTATCTTTCAGGACGCAGCATTTAAGCCAGGGAATATGGATGTAGCTTTTAAGCACTGGTTGGGTAGGGGCGTAGCTGTCAAGGATTTATACATTGATAACAAATTTGCTTCCTTCCTGTAACTCCAGTCCAAACTGGGTCTTCCTTCTAGCCACTTTTTCAGGTACTTGCAAGTTCACAATTTTATCAGACATTTCTCTCACTTTGAAACCATATCATTTCAACATAGTTTCTATGAGCTTATGAAAAAGCCCCCTACTTCTAAAAAGCTAATTTCTCACTTTGTTCATCTTTTCAGTTCATCTCCTCCTACTAATCATATAAAAGAGGCCTGGGCTTCTGACACACTAGTCAATATTTCAGATGAGCTGTGGAATTTGAGTCTGTCAAGAATCAAAACCTGTTTCATTAATTCAAGATTGCAACTTATTTAATTCAAGGTTATTCCTTGTTTTTTCTTTTTTTAAAACCAAACTTAATAAGCTATTTCCCAGTATCTCTCCAACAAGTGACAAATGTAAATCAGATGATGGGACTTTGGGTCCTCTGTTTTGCTCCTGCCCTAAGCTTATGGACTTCTGGTACAGAATATTTAAATTTTATAGTAACGCATATGGCAAAGTTCTATATCCGGATAATCATTTCATAATTCTGGGTTGCTCTAAATTCTCTGTTACTCTTCCCATGTCTCTGCAGCAGGCTCTAATGTTTGGTTTGGTGGTTGCAAAACGGGTTATTCTGCAGGAATTGAAATCATCTACCTCTCCATGCTTTAAGAAATGGCTCAATGATAAGGTGTCCTGTATCTATCTCAAAGAAATTCGATACTCTTTGTCAGACAATCATGATAAGTTCTTTGATGTGTGGGGTCTTTTAAATAGACACATTCAAAATAATGGGTTAAAATGATTTTCATACTTTTTGTACTTTTTTTTTTCCTTCTTATTCATTATTATTGTCAATACTGCCATTATCATTTATTGCTTTCATCTTTTATTGATATCCCATGTTTTATGGTGAACGGCTTGATACAAAGTCTCCAGAATTGTTTCTTATTCCCTCTGACTCTGCCTCGTGCTTTATTATGCTCTACAGTTTGATGAGTACATGTTTTATCTTCTGTTATCAGTTCTTCGTTAAGCTGACACTGTTCTGTCTTGTAGATTTTTGTTTTTGTTGTACTTGTTTTACTTTTTGTTGTATTTTTTTCTTGCTTTTGTCTTGTCTGTTTAATTTTGAAAAAGCATAAATAAATTTATTTAAAAAAAGACCCGGTTGCATGTAATGGCCAGCAGGTGGCAGGAAAATAGATTTAAAAAAAACTCAAATTTTGAAAATGGGCAGAAAAAACTGTTTTCAACAAAAGACGGAAACAAAGATGGAAATGACAATGTGATTCAATTCAACTTAAAATTGCTTAATATTTTTTATTCTAAGCCAATCTGTGCTCTCTGCCATTGCTCAGTGTACATTTACTGCTAGCAAAATCAACTTGCTAAACTGGACCAGTCTCAGCAAGTGTATCAAACAGGTTTCAACTTTAACATGAGAACTGTAACCACACAAAAACCATGTTCTCCCAAATCCTTGGGTGTTAACAATGGCAATGTCCATGTTTTCCTTAAACACTTTGTAGGAAGTTATACGTGGGAGTTTTAAGCAGTTTATACATGTGTTGCCATGGGGAACATTGGTTTGGAGGACCCTTCTTCACTGCCCTCATGGAGAAACTCAATGAATGGTGCTGGGGAAAAGCCGATTGTTGGTATCTTATTCACTCAAGTTGCAAATGCACGAATGTTTTGAAGCTTAGATGATCCTTCTTCATCTATAGGAGAAAAAAAATTCCATTAAGGTACAAATTAGGTGTAGTAGATGTAAAGTAGATGTAGTATTGACTATATCTGTGTTGTACACCTAACTAGTGTCAGGGTTTGGTGTTCTTGTTACTTACTCTCTTCCACAGGTGGTTGTTGCTTACATGTAGGCGTGGCCCCGCACCTGCAGCTCATTGAGGCTGCTTTGCTGAGCTTAAGAGGAGCGTTCAGTCAGCTGAAGGACACCAGAGTGTTAAAGCTTTGTGGTACGACCACGCCTCTGTCCGACTGACAGATCTCTAGAACACTTGTTGTTTTTGGATTCCTATAATCTGTCTCCCTGAGCTTTGGATCACTCATTCGCCCATCTCCATGCTCAGAGGACTGGTCACTGGATCCCTGCTGCTCAGGTTCTGCTCTGGCTTTTCCCTCAAGCCCCATCGGTACTACTGAGTTGGACAAGAGACCCCTCTCTTGGATTCACACTGGTCCCTTCAGCTGCTCCTCAAGCCTGCCTCCGCTGCAGTGCTGCTCCGGCCACCGCCTAAGTCTGGCCACCTCCTCCCATCAGAAAGCTGAGTTACAGAACCCATTCCTCCACTCACCCTCCCCAGATAGGTTATCCGTATGTGGTGGTTAGCAGAGCAGCACCATCGCAGGTTACTTTTGCCAATCTTAGTCTTAATCAGCTTCCTCTTTCCTTTCCAGAAACCCAAATACTGACGTTCCGAACCTCGTCTGTGGTACCTGCTCAGGACTAACTTACTTGTTGTGTTAACAATAAAGATCTTAAACTGCTCCTGTTTCCTGTGTCTGCATGTGGGCCAAGCACCTTAAAACCATGACAACTAGTAAAACCATTTTTTTATTTGTCATTTTATTTAATATGTACATTTTCAATTTACATAAGATTTATTCAAAATTTGTAAAGATCAAAGTTCTTACTTTTAAGTTGTAATGGGTTTATATAGAACATTTGACTGAACTGGAAGCAAACCTTTGGATGTAATTTTGAAAAACACCTCAAACACATTGCTACCTTACGTGTCATCAACTAAAAAAGAAGCTTAATATCACCAAGAGAATTTTGGAGCTCTTTAAGTCTGTCTCTTGCTTAGGTACAACTTCAGATCCCTGAAGGTGTCAATTTTATCTGTTCAATGACACGCAGCTTCGAACATCATTATCTACAGTAAGACACGTACTGCATAGACATTGGTTTAAAGCCCATTCAGGCTAGGTCTTGTATATAAACTTTTTCAAGAAAAGACCTCAGGATTTTTTTATTGAAAATTAGCCAGCAAAAATTTTTTAAAAATTGGCTCTGGGACAACAATCACAACGTTTTGGAGTGGCAATCAGAAAGCTCTGACCTCCATCCCATACAATTTTCTAAATAAGTTTACTTATATAGCGCAGATTCACAAGAAATATAATCTCAAGTCTCTTTACAAAGACATTCAACCAGATCATAAAGTCAAATTGATTCAAAGTTTTCTATCTAAGGAAAAGCAGTTGATTGCATCAAATCATTAACTCATGGGCAATCCCTTGCAGAAGCATGCTTTTAGCGACAATGGAGAGGAAAAACTCCATGTCAGAGGACAAAAATGGCACATCCAGTTAGTCACAGTCAGAGAAACAGGACTTCACTGAAAAATAAGCAGAGCTCAAACATCTATAAACAAAGGTGTTGATGGCAGCAGCAAAGCGGAAATTTCTCCTTAGTATGGTTTCACAGCCAAGCAGGAGTAGACTAGATGAAGTTACTATGAGAAAAAGCAGAGAGAGCAGAACGTTAGAGATTGAACTAATAGATTCTGCAGAGTGGGAGAATAGAGATAGAATGAAGCAGAATGATGAAAAAGAGGTCACTCTGTCCTCCAGCAGTCTAAGCCTATAGCAGCATAACTATAGAGATAGCTCAGGATAACCTGAGCCACTCTAACTA